GGGGAGAGGGGGGAGGGGAGAGGGGGGAGGGAAGCAAGCATTTTCTGGACTTTCAATTTCGAACGCCATCACAGCGGTTGTTATTACACCTCTGCATTCAAATCTTTTGTAGTGCAACGGAGTAAATGGAATACACCCTACAAAGTTCAAATTTCTGGATTTGTTCGCCAGAATGAATTCCTGTTTATGACTCCATTGTGTCACTTCAAACCTTCTTTTTGAATAAAAGAGGGAGGAATTCACTCAAGGCGAACTCTAAAACAATAAACTTTCATTAGACGAGAAGTTCAAAGAATGCAATTATTAACTTCCATTTTATTACTAACAATTTTTATGTTTTAAAAAAACGCCACATTTCACTATACACCTTAACGACCTTAGTCAAAAGAGTTTATGAGGCAAACAATCAAAATTGCATCCAATGGAATTTACAGAGCTCTTGGGAGGAATAAAAAAACTGAGGTTTTTCAAACAGATGTTTGAGTTCAGTTTGTGTCCAGACAAAGTGAAGGAAACAAGTCTGTAAGCTTGATTTGCCTACGAGACAAATTCCCCAACATTATTCATGAGCAATAGCGACAATAAAACAATGCAGACAGAGAAAACACGTCAGACAGACACTAAATTCTGCTCTTCTTCCATGAGGACTTGAACGTCGGCAGGACCACTCCTCCCCCTAATTCATCACTAAAAATGCATGGTCAAATGTTCACGACCCGACAATACCGATTTCAGTTGAAACAATTTTAATGGCGCAATAGGATTTTAAATTGAGTCAAAATAAAGACGAACTAAAAATTTTCGTGATGAAGTGCTGAAACCTCTGCGTGAATCGGATCCTCAGGTTACGATGGAGCAATTATTGCAAAACTAGTTTGATCATGGCCAAATACACAATCACACTTTAAGCGCATAGGCAACTCGACTGGATTGGGAATTTGTGTCATTTCATCAACTCTCCAGATTAACAAAAATGATTGGGAAAACATGTCAATTTCTTTATTACATTGGAAATAATTAACAATAAAAAACGATATTTTTAAATAATCGGTTTCTTATTTATATAGACCCCCCCCCCCCGCAATAGTGTGTAAAATTTAATACGAGTTGTTTGTAAATAGTTTTCTGAACCGTTGGGGCTCAGGTTTATCAAACGACATTTTTGGCGAATGGTTAGTCATTGATTTGATTCTTCGTATTGCATTGCAACAATAAAATAATAAGACTCCATTAAGAGACCGAATAAGGTTAAGAAAAATTTCATTTTCAAACCTCTTATCCAAATAATCCCCCCCCCCCCCTGATTCCCAAATTTACTTAGAAAGGGAGCAATCGAGAGTTTGCAGAGATACATACTTTCCACACAGGAATTCAATAAAGAACAAGTTCGTCACAAAACTTGAAAATAATCCGATGATCGCGCAAGGACAGCACTTATTAGGACTTACTTGCACAAAACAATTGATTAATTATATTCCCATTTCACCAATCAATTTTCAGATCGAAAATGTGGGAAAATAACCCACGAAGATAGATGCTACTATTCAGTAAATTTCTCAATGAATTATTTCAACAAAAGTTGATGTTTAAATTAATTACAATTTACCGGAAATTGTGCAGTTAACTTATACCCTCAAAGGCAACACTATTTTATTAAATACTTCAAATAAGCTAGAGGATTAAATTAAACGCAATGACATTCTCACTAAAGTGTAATTAATTAAATATAATACAAGCAGAGACTAACTCTGATTAAGATATAATTAGGAGTTCATTATCCACTTGGCAGTGTATCGAAAATGGGGAGAAATTGAATGAAAATAAGATCACGAACCCCACTGACGAATGTATTTCAAGTTAATCATTGATCTTTTAATAACTTCAATTAAATGTAAGGAGGCTAGTCAGAAAAATAATGTTGCCTGATCATTCGAAATAAATTAAGTGCGGAATTGAAATAGAGGTCTTGTCTCTTGAGGTGAAAAAAATAGCAATCCATGGAATTGAATGCAGTTTTTAAAAAATAAGTTAGGGAGGATGAGCAAGATAAGAGATCTTCTTTGAGTATAGAAAGATAAAGTAAAATTATAATTTCTAAAAGTAGTAAAGACAGAATACTACGTGACTCTAAGCAAGTATTCACTCTCCCTTTTAGCCTGATACAGGACATGGAAACTCATTTCAACCTGAGCAGCCTGTATATGTGGAGCAATTCTGCAAATGAAAGCGAGATGAGAAGGCCTTAGAGGATTGATTCCCACTAAATAGAATGCCACAATGGTCACGATGACACATGGAAACATACCGCAAATATATTTACCGAAGGAGGCCACTGATAAGATGAAATATTAAATAGAAAAAACAGAGGAATTAATTACTCTCAAGAATATTTGAAGTAAATGTTAGCTGATTCTGTGAAATTGGATTTCTACTTCCACCATTTATTATTATAAATTAAATCACATGTGCTCAGATTTTCTCTTAGTATTTGAAACTTCAAAGTTACGTAGCGAAGCATAGATAATCGCCAACTCAACACTGAACAAGTGACATTTCACGCTTAGTTTGCATAAAGACGAAAAATTAATTCTGTTACTTTTATTTTGTTCAAAAATAGCAACAAAATTAATAGGGATTAGTATTATTTTTACCAAAATATAAGAAAAAAATCTTTCTAGTAATTGGGTTTCGAAAAAGCGAAGCAATTCTGAAATATCAGAATTTGATTAAATAATTACAAGTGTAAACAAACTAGCATGGAGGTAAATACAAGCGTTACTTACAACTACCAAGTAGCAAAATTATTATGCACTAAAATATTAAAAAAAATAAATCGGAATTGCACAACGCGAAACACTTACCCAGATTCGAGGATGGTGAATACTTTACCCTCTGGGCCCACAAAGACACTACGTAGCGATGATGAGAGCTAGACAAATAATATAAAATTTTTATTAAACTTACTATCACGGTCTCCCCAACCGAATTTGGGAATAAAACACGGATATCAGCAATGAATTGAGAATTTAAAAAGATGACATCAGATGGAAAGTTGTGCTTCAGGAGAGAGGAATGCTCTTCAGACTTCGGAATGTTTATCTTGGGCTTCACAGATATAACCTGATTTAAAATAGGTTCATTCTTCACATCCAAATCAATTTCATTTGCAATTAAACCACCATCATTTCCACCAGATACCTGATGCAAAAAAATATTAGAATACTAAAACGTACGATTTGCATTTTAGTCTCGTTAACAATCCGCGTATCAAGGCACCAAATACTTCTACCACGATGGGCGGATTTCAGCAAAACTCGTTTCAATCTAGCAGTCGATGAATTCAACCAAGGATAGAAAACTATGGAGCAATCTTCACCGGCTGTTACTATGCCCCAATCGTTCAAGCATACACACCAAATTCTTGCCCCAAACAGTAAAGACGAAGTGGGATCATTGGAAAAAGCATCCAATCGATGAAGTATGCACCAATTGCCAGACGGAGAAGGGTTCATTGAACAAAATGAATCGAAGGGGGAAGACCAAATGACAACTGATCTGTCTTCTGCAGCCGAAGCTATAAGACAAGATTTAGTATAGGGGTGTTGAAATATGTCGACGGAGAAAATAATTCCCTAAAATTGAATAAGGGATAGACAAAAAAATTCACCTTTTGTGTGCCAAAACTTGATAAGCGCGTTAGTTGAAAAGGCTCATCACCTTTAAAAGCCCAAACACATATAGAATTTGAGGTGCTTCCGGCAAATAAAAGCGATCTATTATTAACTTCAATGTAATCAGCAAATGTCGTACAATAGAGCATGGAAGAATCCGTGGCACTAAATTTTGCCAGGTGGAAAAATTTAGATTTTAGATCAGAAACGTTGTACACGTTTAATGAACCATTAATTGAAACGGTCAAAACGAGATAATGAGCTGTCTATAGCAAAGTAAGATTGACATATAAAATACCTTTTTGAGTATTGAGGCTCCGCAAATATAGTCAGCAGTAGGAAAATCACATAAGACTTTAAAATCGTAATTTTCCGACCACGATAGGATTTTACAAAGATGATTTCCGAAAACAATGATTAGTTTACCATTTAGGCCATTACAATTATGAGCTTCACAATCATTTGCACAACCACATTTAATAACATTCCGTCGACTGATGATTCCTGACACAGACTGTACTGGAGAAAAGCAAGTAACTGGCAGAATATTTTCATTTAGTAGGTTATAAGAATAAAGATTATTTCCGTTTGCTATCTCGATAATAAAGAATTTCTATTCATACCAAAAACAATTGCATCGTTGTCAATCCAAGAGAGTGCAACAATAGGTGAATTATTCCATAAATTCATTTTAATAATAAATATTTAACATAAGGTTGAAACTAATATGCTCGCAGGCGTTAGCAAACATTTGACATAGAAGTCAAAAGAATCGCCCGACTTGGGTCACAAGATAATAATCGGTAAAAGAAATCACAATATACAATAGTTTAAAATCGTAACTTTCATTTTTTGGAAAGAATCAATTATCGTTTGCAATCAGTCGCCTATAAACTTTATAAATTTTGTTCATTGAATTAGCCAAATATATCTCTGTAACGAACAATAAAAAAATTTAATATCTGTCAATATATTTAAAATTGCTTTTATGGTTGGATAAAGTCAAATTTCAGTAGAATAATAACGAAGTTACCTCCTCGGCTTTTTTGCGAGTTTCAACTTCTTATGCAAATTACCTGTTAATATGAGTGACTGTGATTCCTGCAAGATGTAGGTCTTGGTGTTCTCGAATTTTATTTCATCCTTATTTTAGACTTATTTGCGGAGATGTGTGTGGAAAATTCAAGGCTCTTTATAATCGCATCCGAAAAGTTCTTTTAGCTGCTGGATCTTTTGAGGCACTATATTGCATCGGTGATTTCTTCGGTGAAAACCCTGATGAGTTTGAAAAGCTGGTTGAAGACCCTTCATCAAGTATGAGTTTGCTGTCTTTCATATTTTTTAGTTCCCATCATGACTTATGTTCTCTGCCCTCCGACGTCTTCTTCACTTCGTTATATTACTGACATGAATGGCTGTGAACTGTGTCCATCTATTAAATATCTCGGACGTCAAGGAACCTTTACAACAATAACGGGACTTCGGATTGTATACGTCAGTGTTAGTCCAGACGTTGAGGCTGACTCAGATACCTGGGTAACGGAGTTTCCAGTTCTTGAATCAGATCCTACTTTCAACGGAGTGGATCTCCTTTTAACTTGTCAGTGGCCTAAATTTATTCTATCCCCAAATGATCCGCTTGCGCAGATGACCAAGAATCAGGCCTCTCTCTGTGTTTCACACATTGCTAATTCTGTCAAGCCCCGTTATCACTTTGCAGCTACGAGTGGTGTGTTTTATGAGCGCAAGCCTTACAGAAATCATCGTGTTCTCCAGGAGAAAGAAAAACTTGTTACTCGTTTCATTGCACTGGCTAATGTTGGGAATAAAGGAAATGCAAAAGTAATTGCTATATTCATTCATTTATTATGTCCTCCATTGGGATTATTTTTCCTTTTGTTGACTTCAGTATCTGTATGCCCTAAAAGTCAAGCCAGTTGACAAAATGACCCCTTCTGAGCTAGTGGCTCAACCTCCAGATGTTACTGAAAACCCTTATTTCGATACAATTAAAAAGGCACTGAAGGAAAGGCAAAAGGAATCTGTAAGTAGTCTTAATTTCATTGAATTAGTTTTGCAAATGATTAATGAATGACTTAATTTTTCTAAATCTCCTGATAACTGGGTGTTTCTTCGTTTATTATCGTCCTGAAGTTTATTTTTCTGTCGCTGAACTTTCACTAATTTTATACTACTTCAATGTTTGTAATATGTTGCGTATCTTTTAATTGAAACTCGTAACTATTTGTGGATACCTATTTACTGTTTTCGTAGCCATTTTTCACAAAGCTGATTACCTTTAACTAGATATTTTCTTTCTCTGTTGCTACTTATGAACTACCCTTCAGTTTGATTAATAGAAGCGTAGCCTAATTTCTCTGTGAAAACCCTCGTTGGAACTTAACTGTTGATAACCAGTCGTAGATCGTTTATCGATGGGATTTTCTCTATTGGGGAATGAAGTCTGTCTCTATTTTGGGACAATTTTCCAGCTTTGACCGGTCATATTTAGTTCTGAGAGTCGTTTCCAAAGAAGCATGTGTACTCCAATTCGTAGACTACCTTTGAATTTAGACTAATTATAGCAAATCACACCTCCGGCTTTGTTCCTTTTCATTTATGGTATTCGACGCGAATAATCTTACGCGAGCAGCATTTGAATATGGTCTTGAAATTTGTGGATTTGTTGCATTAACTTGATTAGAGTGCGTGTCACATGCTTGTCGGAAATATATATTTCTCTCAAATTCCGCTTTCAAGATGACGCTCGTACTTTCCAATGTCTGGAAAGCCAGACAGTAATGTCGTGGAGACGTTTTTGCATTTCATTTTATCATAAAATAAAATCTGGTTTTATTCGTCTTATTGAGTTACGGAATAAAGCACCATCGCTTCTCCTGCTGAATTTAAATACACTTTTCCGCCCTGTTAAATCGTACACCGGTTGTATTATATAGGCTTATTTCTTTCGTTTTTCCTGACTATAAATAGAAGCGGATTTCTCTTAAATATCAAGTATTTCATTTTGAATTTGCTTGATCTTTTACAGTTGTAATCTTGAGACGTCAAGATGAATTTTTCAAACACCAAAAAGTTGAATAGTCGGTAGCTCACACGTAAAAGAAGTTAAGCATATATTTGTTGCCTCTGGCGGTTTACGTAACTGTAGGCGGACATTTTTGCATGATTTGGTTCCCTGTAGTAAAATTAATCACTACAACGCTTCATTGTGTACATTGTAGGAAGTTCAGACCGATCAGTACTTCTATTCCATGCCCACGAAGCGACGAGCTGAAGGAGACAACGACAGACGTCCAGGTTGGAAATTAAAGAAGTACGATCGTTCTGACGTTCCTGATGGGGAATCTGCCCCGGCTAAAGGTGATTTTTCCTCGGCCGTTTAACTATATTGTCAAAACTTTCTATTTCATTTAATTTATCTACGTTTAGTTCATGATGCTTGTTGGTTTTGTCTGGGTAATCCCCAAGTAGCCAAGCATCTTTTGGTTACTATCGCAACACACGCATATGTGGCCTTGCCCAGGGGTCCCTTGGTGCGAGACCATGTTCTCATCTTAACTGTGGGTCATCATCAAAGTTGGTTGACCTGTTCCGAGCCAATCCGTGCCGATATCATCGCCTATAAACGTGCTTTAAAGAAGATGTATGAAGAGGAGGGTAAAGTGATGGTCACATTCGAGCGCAACTACAAAACTCACCACTATCAACTTCAGGTGGGTTATCATTTTCGATCTTTTTATGGCCTCTTCCTCCAGGTTGTTCCTGTACCTTTTGCAGTTGCAGGCGCTCTTAAGAAGGCCTTTCTTGAGATGTCAGAAACGCTGCCTAACTCTCCTTGCAAACTAGAACCTCTTCCAAAGAATTCCGATATTACCGATGTTAGTTAGACACTTATTAAGTAACCCTTTTAGTTTTGCAGACCAGGTGTTCCCTATTTCTATGTTGAACTACCAACTGGGGAAAAATTGTTCGGTAAAATGGAAAGAGAACGTGTTGCGTCCGCGGATATTAACTTTGGAAGGTAGGCTGATTTAAATTGTACCAATCAACTTTTTTCAGAGCCGTTTTAGCGTCTGAAACGATTTTGAATTGTCCGGATCGAGTGAGTTGGAGAGATTGTACAGAAAGTGAAGAGGATGAAACGAAGTTGGCGACTGAAATTCGCGAAAAGTTTTCCCCCTTTGATTTTTCTTAAGTAAATGAGGGTTTTATAAATTGTATAAATGTTTTATATACATCTGTGAATAATGAATATCAGTTATCTTTTTACTTTTGTCATTGACTTTTATTCAATTCAATGATATGATATATGTAAATAGTTCATATATAATAGACTAGTGCAAATGGCAAGTAGGGGCATGAAAATCTATAAGTTAGAAAGACACCGAAGATGAAGGACTAATGAATGCAACAGTGGGTGTAGCGAACTTTACCTCTGTATCAACGCAGTTGATTACCTCACCAGTTAAGATGGGTTCTTGGCTTACATCTAAGGCAACTGTCAAAGTGTTTAAGATTTAAAAGAGGTTTCTTGACATGGGAAGCAGCCTCGCAACACGAATAGGCTTTACAAGTAATGGAGGATATGGCTATATAACGCAGAAATTTATGACAAAAGTATTTCGCTCCTAGTAGGAAGTTTTGCTTTACTGGTCTTAATGAATCGTGTTGCTTTTAACATCGCCTAGAATATATCCGCATTTACTAATGCTAACTTTTATTATTGTTGAGGTGAATAAGAAAATATCATTAGAAAGAGAGTTTCAGTCTTAATGTAATTGAAAGATGCATTCTTCGAATGCCGAAGCATTGAAAAAAATTGGCTACATATTCTCCTAACCTGTTCAAATTTATTAAATCTTGTCTAATAAAGCTATTAAATAATGGATTTAAAAAGAGGAGTTAGCTTTAGTTACTATTATTTTGACAGGAATACAAAGAAATTTGTAATTTTGTGAGCTTTGGGCACTAATAACAATAATAGCAAACCAAATATATACATTATTATATGAAGTATCATTACAAAATTAACATATTTTTAAAAATGGAATCCGGGATTGTCAACCAATGCCTCAAAATGAGAATGTCTAATAACCAACATATGTAAACAAGTTATCAATAGATTAAAACATAGAAAATTCAAAAAAACGCATTCGATTATCGACAAAAAATATATATTTAGAGTAAAATTGAAGATTTATATCTAAAATGGCGTAAAACCCTCTTTACTTTTATTATTAAATTTGGAAGCGCGGGTACTCCGGTTTGCAAACGTGTCGGGTTGGTCGTACTTCTTGAGATCCTTTGTGTTTTCTTTACTCTCAATTTAACAATGGAAGCCAGTGAAAGCAACGTCCCAGTTTCTGAATCTAGACCCTATGATGATGGACCATGTGCGCTCGAGAACATTCATAGCAAAGCTCACGATGTTTTTCCTATTCCCTTCAATGGCATTAGAATGCTAATTAACAAGGGTCTTTCATCTCATTTCCAAGTCAGCCATACTTTGACTCTCAGTAGTGGTGAAAGCGCAGGTTACCGCTTTGGTGCTACCTATGCGGGCCACAACAAAGTTTCCGAAACTGAGGCCTATCCTGTTCTTATGGGCGAGCTTCAACCTAATGGCCAAATGCAGGCTCAAATTGTGAACCAAGTTGCCCCCAACTGCCGTCTACGTTATGTTGCGCAAATACAAAAGTTTGTCATGGCAAATCAACAGATTGCTGCTGAGTTTCGTAATGGAAGTCATCAGGTTGGTCTAACTCTGATTAACCCTGATTTTTCCCGGGGCGAAGTTATGGTTGCTATTGATACTATGCGGAAAATGTCAAATCGCTTCTATATGGGTTCGATGTTCTTTTACAATCGCTCTCATCAGCTTCCCGGTGGTAATGATGGTGTATGGAGTCTTGGTGGGAAATATGTCGCCGATTATTGGCAATTCGCATCCACCGTCCGACCACTTCAGCTAGCTTTTCATTCCAGTTTTCACATGAAAGTGAATGAAAATCTCCAACTTGCTGCAGAAATAGAATCGAACTATCAACAACAAAGCAACATTGCAACCCTGGGTTATCAGTTTGATCTCCCTAAAGCTAATGCCAGTTTCAAGGCTCAGATAGACTCAAACTGGAATGTTGCTGCAACTCTTGAGAAGCGCCTTTTCCCTTTCCCTTTTACCTTTGCCATTAGTGCTTTGGGCAATAGTGTTGCCTCCAAGTATGAGGTTGGAGTGGGCCTAACCGTTGGATAAATCTGCGCCCTTATAGCATTTTGATTTCAATGAAATCGACAGCCCCTGTAGTTCTACTGACCTTTCTTCACATCTGGTTTTAACGGCACAATGACCGTTTCCAGTCCCTCTCACTCCACTCTGGTTGAGCGATCATGCCCGTATCGTTTAAAAAATATTCTTATCTATTGTAAATACTTTTTCCTCCCATTTGGCTTTTGTATGCTGTACACGTTTCTACTAACTGTACAGTTTTGATGAGTTCGCATTGTCAATATAGAAATTCTAAGATTTGACCAAATGTTTTAGTACTTCTAGTTTCTCATTCTTGTTAGGTGATTTCATTTTCTTGAGCTATATTCGACCTTTAAGAAGTACTTTCATTGGCAAACTTTCCGTAGACGTTTCGCCACGTCGTGCAGTAGCTTCCGTTGTTATCCTGGTTTGCGCGCGGGCGGCTCGGTAGAGTGTTTTTAAAAATAATAGTAACTTGTTGAGTGGGTTGTGTTCTGGATCCACGGCTCGGTCTTGAAACAGTTGAAGCTTGACTTGGTACCTTTGTGTCTAACCTTTTCAAGGCTTTGGGATCACTCGTTCCCCCTTGTGTTTCATTTCAAACGTTGCTAGTAAACCATTGCAGATGCAATTTTTCAAGAATGGTTTTGTGCACTTATTGTCGCTTTTCGTTTTCTAGTTCAAATTATTTTATTCAAAGAAGAGTTTATTTGAATTGACTTGTAAGGTTACTTCCATCCTTAGAGAGTTGTTTGGTTCTGTTACTTAGCAATTATACTCGTGCGCATTTTCGTATCGAGACTTCGCAAGCCACCTTTAATCCCAATCAACGCTAGGGAGGTATAACTTAAGTCTCGGATAACATAAAATCGGTGCTTGTATTTTGATGTACTTATATTTTATTGTTTTCGTACATTGCCAGGTCAACTGTTCATAGGCTATCAAACGATTGTAGATTACCTTGGCTTAATTGTATTAATTTCCCTTAGAGCTTTAAAGTAGTAATACTGCCTAGACCCATTTAACATGGCGCTTTTCAACACCCATTTTTGGCAAAAAGTGACACCATGGAGCCTTTCTGGTGAGACTCGAATTCTGGTGCACTTTAAATAAGCCAGACTTGACTGCTGTGTTTGGCCTCTCTACTCTCTGTGTGCGCTGGTAAGCATCGAGCCAATCATCTCTCAGATGGCAATGCTTTATATTTATCGTATCACGCCAGCTGAAAGTTCTAACTATCAATCGAGATTTTTTACTTTGTGTCTAATATAGAAATTGGTCTTATTGTTATAACTGAAAAAAGGGTGTGGAATAGAATTACCTCCACGTGGTGCACCCTAGACAACGGCAATAAAGTCTAAAAACCGGCAGTTGACCTCTAACTACCATAACCCGAGAGTAGGTCATTTTCGATCTCTTCAAAGTACTCATCTTACCTTTTCTCTGCCTTTGTGTCAGTCTGTCTCTTTTGCATCTGTGAATCATTATTCGGTCCCCCCTCCCACTCCACTTTTGGTGGCTTTGATATTCCTCCCTTCTGTGAGGCCCGAAATCAGCTAAAGGGCTAATGATGACTATCAAAAAGCCTGCCATTTAATATAAATAAATGAATTATAAATGAAAGTTGAACTTCCCATCTGGGAGACTTCATGAAGCTCTCCTCTACCCAATTGGTGCCGTGGAAAGAGCTCTCCTAAAGGCGTTTAGGAATTATTATCATCTCATCTGAGTAACTCGAGGGCATTTTCCCAAGTTGAACGGTTGGGGGGAGGGGGTTGCCTGCCTTGTACAGCCCTGAAATTTATTACCGTGACTCTGCTATCCATTACACTTCGAGCTGCAAACTATAATCATAACTAGCATTGGCTCGTTGCGAACTTGTACTAAATGGCAACGTTTCGCGCCAAAGACTCAGACTGTTTGACTAAGTTTTAGCAATACTCTCATGAAATGCCACTGGATTAAAGTATCTCATTTTTTCGCGCCAAAAATCAATGATTGAGAGATATGCATACAGTCATCCCCACCCATTTCCATCTTCATTCGTTTGTAGTAAACACACGAGATATCACCATTAGAGAGGAGTGAATGCTAATGACATTATAGACATCTGCTAAAGCGGTTGCGTATACTCAAATTTAAATTGTCGAATCCGCATGCAGTTATCGATTTTGGTCTATACATTGGCTACAGAATGAGAAGCTCCAAGGTGTCTTGGCTCCACGCACGTTGCACATTAGAATAGTCATTTCTCATAGGGGAATTATCACGTGTACTGACAACTAATAAGTAGAAATTTAAACGCCAATAGTCAAAATATGCATGATGAAATATTCTCAAAATCATGTCATTTTGTAAATCATTTGGATTGGCGTATTTCGAAAGAGTTAAATTATTGAATTACTAATATTTTTCTACCTAAGAAGAGAAGAATCGATCCGAAACAGACGGATCAGAAACCGTTTATTTACTTTATTTATTTTTCTATTTATTTTGATTTCCAAAAGCTTAGTTAAGACTACTCTCCATCATACTTCCATCGACGATAAGGGCCTGGTTGCTTCTTCGTGACTTAGTATGTATTTTTATTGTCTTGATTTTGTCGACATTTATTTATTCATCTCAAATAGAAGGCGTTTTGATAGTTATCATTAGCCCTTTAGCTGACTTCGGGCCTCTCAGAGAGGAGGAGTTAGAAGAACATCAAAGTGACAAAAGTCGAGAGGGGGACAAAATAATGATAAACAGATGTAAAAGAGATAGACATGCAGACACAAAGACAGAGAAAAGCTAAGATGTGTTCTGTGGAAGTTGTCGAATATGACATACAGTGGAGTGATGATAGTTTGATGTCAGAAGTCAACTGCTTGTTAGTAGACGGGTCATGATAGTTTGAACTCAGAAGTCAACTGCCAGTTAATAGACTTACTCATGGTAGTTTGAAGTCAACTGCCAGGTAATAGACTTTAGTTTGAAGTGAGAAGTCAACTGCCGATTGATAGACTTTTATTTGAAGTCAGAAGTCAACTGCCAGTTAATAGACCTTTTCAGTCAGAAGTCAACTGCCGGTTTATAGACTTTTTTGCCGTTTGAGTAGTCAGAAGTCAACTGCTTGTTAGTAGACTTTACCGTATGAGTATACGTTGCCCAGGGTGCACCACGTGGAGGTTAAAATTTATGTAATTACATCCATAGGATAGGAAGTAAACTTAACCACAAAAGCTGTAGTTATTCTTTTCTCATGTTTGCAGAACTCATTTTTGATGAAGGGTTTCAGCAGTTGGCTGTTGCGTTCGCAGTATTGGGGGGAAATACAGATTTCCAAATATTTGATTTCAAAATTCTTCACCAACCAGTTTTAAACTAGTTGATTTATGTGTTGTAGTGAACTGCCAATCATCAATACTACTATCTGAATTGCGTGCAAGTTATGTGTTAACTTTCTTTCAAAATATTCTTTAGATAAAATGTTGTAAAAATGTGCGTCAACTATCAATTCATTTAAATTAATACGATGGAAACATAATACAACTGAACCAAAAAAATAAAGTGATCAATCAAATCGGTAGAGCTAGTTATGATATAGTTCATAAGATGAGTAAAATCTAAATTGAGCCTTTGGTCCACAATTGGATCTTATCTTGGAGCTCCCAAAATTCCTCATTGATTTATAAGCATCATTTCTAAGTGGATTGTTTTGGGCGCAATAATTGCGTACGTAATTTCTGAGATCTTGAACTCTTTCCTACAAGTTCAATAGGCAAATGTTTTAGAAATAAAATTTTGGATGTTAATTCACTTATTCAAGCACAATTTTTGAGCCTGCGTCTTCTTATTGAAATTCATGACAAAACATCCAGGAAATGCTCGATCTTGAACGACAGTTAGGTGGAAAGTCCAGAAGGATCAGCAGAGGGAACAATTGGAGGAGGTGGGCGGGGGGAGGGACAGGGGACTTGGCAGGAGGCATTGGTCAAACTAACCTTTGCGATTATCTCTTACCATCGTTCAGATATCCCTATGGCACTATTTGCAACAATTTAGAAACCCCCATCTAATCACACCCGTCTCACAGCAACCTTCCAACAAACATGAAAGTCTACAGGTTTGGTGATTGTCTAGAAAATTAGTACGGACTCGTTTCAATATCACCTCATTTTACAGGAATTTGAAAGGAATTGTAGATGCCTTTAGCGGCCTATTTCTCTCCTTAAACTTTTAAACCTGATCGACGTTTTAGTAACCTCAAGTCTTTCTGGAAGGAATTTGATATTTTTCATTTTTTTTCGCAATCAGGAATCCTTTAAAATTTTGACATTTGTAACATTAATTTTGTGAAGATTTGCCTACACCTCACCCTCCTCAATATTTCATATTCCAAGCTTTCTTGTACAGTCAATTAACAATTACTCAAAGTAATTTATGTTTTCATTCACTTTAATTTGCTAAGTTTACTATCCCATCTAAAGTTTGGTAGATTTTCTTCCCTTCGGAAGTTGACAATTGCAAACCCTTCTGTTGCTCCTTTTCTAATCGCATGATAGCGGCTCGCGCAACGCACGTAAGAACTCGCCCACCCGAGACGGTGGAAGAGAAGGAGATAGGCCAAGCAAAAACTGCCAACAACAGTAGGAGTAAAATAGGGAGAAGGAAACAAAAAAATTCCATCAAACTCCACCACAAACCACCAGCAGCAACCAAGTTACTTCGCGTGACAGTCTTCCTTCTGTCCGTTCTGTCCAAACGGTCAGTTGCAGGTGGGGGGTGGGGGGGGGGGAGTTTGGGGTGCGGTTTCGTTACCATGTTTTTTTTCCACTCCTCCTTAGCCGATACTCGGATTCGCTGTTTTTTTTGCCCCAACTCCCCAACCTGCACAATTCAGATTTAGGGGAAAAGCAGGAGGTGGGAGTAGGGGAATTAAAGACCACCCGCGGGAGGGAGTAGGGTAGATGTCAAGTGCAAATTAACCTCCAGATTGCATGATGCTGCCCTACTGCTTAGGGTCTGTCTGTGAACAGTAGAAGCCGAGAAGAGGAGGGTGGGAAATATGGACTCACTTGGGAGAAAGAAATGCTACTATACCTTTTTGTTGTACTTGGAAAAAAAAACCAACACAACGAAACGTCTTGAGATGATAAGCCATTTTGTGTAAATGAAACCGAAGACTACCGTTATTTTCCATGCCTTACTCTCGGTCGTTTTCGGGTGTTATTTAAAAATGAAAGATTACCAAACCAATCTTGAATTGGCTAAGACCGATGGAAGTTTTAATTAGTCTCTTTCCTACCGGAATCGTGTTCAATCAGTTGATTTAAATCACTTCACAAGTTTTCGTGAAGTTATCCGACCGTAATCGTATTCATGGCTAAGTGGGTAGAGAGTTGCCTTAGGAGTCCTCTTGTTCTTCTTAGGATAATCAGTAAACACTCAGAATTGGTGAGAAATCACTCATTTAAGGTAAATTAAGACTGATTTACCACACTTTTAATACACGCATTAAGTATTTCAATCAGGCTGAAGTTTGCAATATCCTACAGCTATTCACATTTATCAATCATCTTCAAATGACATGTATCAACCGTCTTATCATTCGTGTCATCACTCTAAAGCAGGGTAGTTACTAATAACGTCCTATAAAGTTCTCCATTTATAAATAATCTCCTATTTTTGAAAAAAATCAATATTTATTAGTAAATCAGTTGCTTAAAGGCTCGGATGAATTGTTTGCTTCCTGTGCTGAAGTCGGTTATGCTATGATTACGTTATTTGTTTAAAATCAAGTGCGATCAACCTGCTTTCAAGTTCTTCGGGATAAAGGTGGGTTGAAGTTCACCCTAGTTAATAAACCGTTCAATGGGCAAAGGTCAACGAAGACGAATCATGGAATTTGAAGTTCAAAAGGGACCCACTCATTTCATAATTACCTTACAACCCGAGTCCAAGACTCAAGTTTCACTAAATTGTGATATTTTTCTGACTAAAACTCCACTTCCCCTGTTACCTTAAATCAACTACTTCTCTGTTTAGAAAGTCTCAATGTTGCTTTGCCAAGGTTATGATAATTTATAGGCGACGAGGCAAGAATTGACCACCTCCCAAAAAGTACCTTCTGGCCAAGCAAGCAAAACTGACGACATTTAAAATCCACAATTTTCTTCCAGTCTGTAATAGGTGGCCACACACAGTTTACTAGTGGTTGCGGAGCCAATCTGCAAATTCTTACCTCGCGCAGAGATGGGAAAATTAGAAGGTTGGAGATATTTATTGATGGAAGCGATTTTGATATCCTCCACCTCTTCCTAGTTGTGGTTCGTTTTCCCCTTGCATTTAAAGACAGTTGCGTTCATATCGGGGGTGGGGGGGGGTAGACCTTGACTATATATTCGTTTATAGTCATTTATTATTATTGCCTACAATAAAATTAAACCAGGATAATAGAATTTTTTGAAAACAACGGAAATCAAATAGAAAAAAAGGTTAAATCGATGATTAATGGAAGGGATCAAGATATCAGAGAATTCTACTTCATTTGGGTTGTGAGGTATTTGCTAAATGGGTAACTCATTTTCCACATTTAAAATTTCCCGATTCGAAATAATAGGTATTTTTACTAGCTATTTTTAAATTAAGAAGTGTCAAACTCAAATTGACCATTTTTCGCCCAAGATAACATTACACTTAATATTGACAATTGAAGATTTGAATGGATTTCATATAATTTATGCTACGTTCTCCCATTTTGCCAATGCCTGTTTGCAATTCGAATCATTTGCGCAAAAAATGTCTGTTTATAATAACGGAAGGGGGTGTGCGATAGACTTACCTCCACGTGGTGCACCCTGGGCAACGTATACTCATACGACAAAAGAGTCTATTAACTGGCAGTTGACTTCTCACTTCAAACTACCATCACCTCACTGTATGTCATATTCCACAACTTTCACAGTACTCACCACACATTTTCTCTACCTTTGTGTCTGTCTCTTTTACATCTTTAAAACACTCTTCTGTCCCCCCCTCGACTTTTTTCCACTTTGATGTTCCTTCCCCTCTGTGAAGCCTGAAGTCAACAAAAGGGGTAATGATAACTACCAAAATGCCTGCCATTTTATATAAATAAATGATAACGGAAAAGACCTTGCGTTGGTTTAGCTCTTTGGATATTAAAAGTAAATTATGTGCACGTGAATCGCATTCATTTCTGTCAAAGGAATCATATTCCAAACGCAGTAAGTCATATCAGTTGAAACGTATCCTTCAATTTCATACCGAAATGTTACAACGTCTGATGTTTCAAATCTGAAACATGAGAAGTGACAGGGGTCATGAAATGACACGAGGGCAGTCTAATTTGCATATGTTATCATATGCTTATAATATTTAATAAAATTCAAGAAATGGGAGACGGGGTTGACATGAGTAACTGTTCCCACGATCTTGTCAAATCGCACCAAATCACATTGATAATTTCAATAGTCTCTGCATTTACTATGACCAAAAAGGATTATGGATTGCAATGTTGGGGAAGCTTGTAGTGACATGATAAAAGCATATTTATGATTGAGCATATAATTACAATTGTAAGTAAATGGGAAACGTGCATTAAATACGTCCCTTCTGAGTCCAAGTATTCTACTTCTTCCAAAATAGTCCTTGACTGTTATAATTTTAGTTTTTTATCCCAGGGTATCATCCTGATATTCGAAATAGTAAAAATATGAAAGGGAATTAAAGGAGGTCCGAATATCGAGTTCCAAATCAACGAAATTGTGAAAACATTTATCTATTTATTTCAAATGGCAGGCTTTATGATTATCATTAGCCCTTAAACTTTGACTTCAGCTTCCCCCAAGGGTGGGTATCATTCGCAATTTAACTTTGACTTCAGCTTCCCCCAAGGAAGGGTGGGTACATTTATAGCAGTTAATTAATAGCAGTTCATTAGCGGGTACATTTATAGCAGTTAATTAATAGCAGTTCATTAGCCCGGACATTTATAGCAGTTAATTAATAGCAGACATATATAGCAGTTAATTAATAGCAATTCATTAGCTGTCTTTTTGCTTCCCAGTATCTCTGTGTTTCCGTCGTTGTCTTTAGTTGCTTCCCAGTATCTCTGGCTTTCCGTCCTTGTCTTTAGAGTGGGACACCGAATCAGGTGGGTCTTCTCCATTTCCTCTTGATGAACACCGAATCAGGTGGGTCTTCTCCATTTCCTCCTGTATAGCTGGACACCTAATCAGGTGGGTCTTCTCCATTTCCTCCTGTAGGTTACATTCTTGGCTTTCCGTCGTTGTCTTTAGGACTGGACACCGAATCAGGTGCGTCGTTGTCTTTAGGGCTGGACACCGAATCAGGTGGGTCTATAGTAGCTGTCTTCTTGCTTCCCAGTATCTCTGGCTTTCCGTAGCTGTCTTCTTGCTTCCCAGTATCTTTGGCTTTCCGTATTTGTCTTTAGGGCTGGACACCGAATCAGGTGGGTCTTCTCGCTTGTCTCTAGGGCTGGACACCGAATCAGGTGGGTCTTCTCCGTCTGAACACCGAATCAGGTGGGTCTTCTCCATTTTCTCCTGTAGAGAATCAGATGGGTCTTCTCCATTTCCTCCTGTAGGTTTCACATCAGGTGGGTCTTCTCCATTTCCTCCTGTAGGTTACAGATCAGATGGGTCTTCTCCATTTCCTCATGTAGGTTACATATGGTGGGTCTTCTCCGTTTCCTCCTGTAGGTCACATAGACAGGTGGGACTTCTCCATTTCCTCCTGTAGGTTACATAGAGTATGTGGGTTGAGTGTATACTCTCAATCTGTGAAGGTGTTTTGATTGTATACTCCTAATCTGTGAAGGTGCTTCGCCAGATTTCCTCCTGTAGGTTACATAGAGGGCATGTGGGTTGATCTATACTCTGTAGGTTACACAGAGGGCATGTGGGTTGAGTGTATACTCTCTTAGATTAAGAATCAGATGGGTCTTCTCCATTTCCTCCTGTAGGTTTCACAATCAGATCTTCTCCATTTCCTCATGTAGGTTACATAGGGGGCATGTTGGTTGAGTGTATACCAGGTGGGTCTTCTCCATTTCCTCATGTAGGTTACATAGTGGACAGGTGGGACTTCTCCATTTCCTCCTGTAGGTTACATAGAGTATATGTGGGTTGAGTGTATACTCTCAATCTGTGAAGGTGTTTTGATGTAGGTTACACAGAGGGCATGTGGGTTGAGTGTATACTCTCTTAGATTAAGAATCAGATGGGTCTTCTCCATTTCCTCCTGTAGGTTTCACATCAGGTGGGTCTTCTCCATTTCCTCCTGTAGGTTACAGATCAGATGGGTCTTCTCCATTTCCTCATGTAGGTTACATATGGTGGGTCTTCTCCGTTTCCTCCTGTAGGTCACATAGACAGGTGGGACTTCTCCATTTCCTCCTGTAGGTTACATAGAGTATATGTGGGTTGAGTGTATACTCTCAATCTGTGAAGGTGTTTTGATTGTATACTCCTAATCTGTGAAGGTGCTTCGCCAGATTTCCTCCTGTAGGTTACATAGAGGGCATGTGGGTTGATCGCTAGACACCGAATCAGGTGGGTCTTCTCCATTTCCTCCTTAGGTTACATAGGGGGCATGTGGGTTGAGTGTATACTCCCACGTTACATAGAGGGCATGTGGGTTGAGTGTATACTCCCAATCTGTGAAGGTGTTTTGCCAAGCAATCGTTTCCGGTACGTAGTCTAAAATACATTGAGGAGTCTGTTTTATCATGCGAAATTTTATACAGTTAGTAAAATTCAAGTTTCCATAAGGTCAATTTTCTCGCCTTTAACTCGTGATTTCTGGATGTGTCCGTAACGAGGACATTAAGACTATGTTGGCCAGTTGATTGGAGAGTTGATCCTGCCATTTTTAACAACTATATCTCCTTACAAACAGTAGAATACACTTCAGTGACTTGAATTTCATCAATAGGGTTGAAACTTGCCTTCATTCTATTTATTTCGCTTTGTTTCCGCTACGATGAAATGATATTTTCTCGTCGTGGGGTGTGCAATAGACTTACCTCCACGTGGTACAACCTGGGCAAAGTATACTCATACGGCAGAAAAGGCTATTAATCGTCAGTTGACTTCTGACTTCAAACTACCATGGCCCTACTGCTAGTCATATTCGACCCCTTCACAGTACTCATCTTACCTCTTTCTCGACCTTTGTGTCTGTCTGCTTCTTTTATATCCGTGAATCGCTCTTCTGTTTCCCACCCCTTGACTTTCTTCTACTTTGATGGACCTTCCCTCTGTGAAGCCCAAAGCCAGCTAAATGGCTAATGATAGCTATCAAAACGCCTGCCATTTGAAATAAATAAATAAATCTTTTCTCGTCATTTAATTAGTCTCCTTTGTGAATATTGTAACTTTACTTACACTTACGTAATGTGGCATTTTTTGCACCAAAATAGTATAGATTGACGTAATACCTAGTTTTGAGGATTTCAATGTAAATTTCATTAACTTGACTTTGCGGAGAAACTAATCTTAGCACGATTAAACTGCGCTCTCAACCATTCTCAAGAGTCCGATTGTGCAGGCTAATCACCAATTGACATTTCCTTAAGCAGCGTTAAATGAATTCAATTATAAAATTGTGTTTGCTGTGGTTAATAAGTTCACCAAACACTGTTCTCACTGTTCTTCTATAGCCTAACTCATTTCAGTAGCCTATC